CTCACATGGCAGCCAAAAGCAGGTGCAGGAGAGAGGGCAAAGCACTGAGAGAAGGGAAGACTAGAGAAACGGGGTGATGGGAATGCCCCGTGGCACCATTGTCTTTCCGGTTGCGAGCCTGGCCTTTCACAGCTGAGCCAGCTCTCCAGTGGCCCTGTGCCTCCACTGACACTTACAGAGGTGCACACATTTTCCAAGCTCATCACCATGTACGATTTAAATGGATGCAGGTTTTTGTATGGAAATTAAACCTCAATTAACTTGATTAAAAAAAATAAAATTCAAAGGCATCAAGGGGGGCCTTCAGGAGTTCTCAAAAGAAAGGAATAAAATTTTCCATAGCTCGAGTGTCTCTCGCCTCTGATTGGAATTACACTAAGTTTGTAGACTGGCCCCGAGGAACTCACCCTTGTTTCAGCCACAGGTCCTTCCACCATCTTGGGGCACCTAGATCTGAGTCCTGGGACACTGTGAGCATTGCAGTTACTGTCCAATCTTCAAGGATTCGATAGACTTTACCTACCAAACAATCCAGGCTCAAAATTGTGGGGGAAGTGGCTATGGAAGCCTGGAAAGATTGACATTCTTGGTTTGGATGGGAAATGTCTCCAAAAGCTATGCCTAAGGATCAGACGACATTCTTCAAGAGTAAATACCAGGAGGTGCTGAAGCCAGCAAGGACAAGACCTGCCTCAGACCTCCCTAGACCACTCCACAACCTCTCAGCTAACCCTACGGCACCTGAGCCCATTCCGCATCTTCCTAACGTACCCGTACCCCACGTGTTCTCAGGCCACCCCACATCTCTAACCCACTCCATGTAGGGGAAATGGTAGCCACGCCCTCTGGGGGGCTGGCACAGGTGACACAGACCACGCACACTAGGGCGTGGTCAGTGATGTTGAAAGACCTTAAATATGAGGGTCGCCTGCAAGGCTGCTCTCTCCGTCCCATGGTTCGCCTGGTTGTACAGGACTGACTCCGTTGAGTGAATACTTATAAAATAAACCTCTGCTCATCAAACTTGCTCTGACTCCTTTGCGGTAGCATTAACTGCGCCCCCCTAAAACTCCGTATCTCCTTAGCCCACTTCACCCACGCCTGAGTCCCCGGATAGCTGGGGTGAACGCTCCCCAATCACGCTAATGGATTTCCACCTCCAGTTTCTTTCTCCTGAAACCTCAGGCGATGTGGAGGGCAGGCCAGAAGTGTCGGGAAGCTCACATGCCAAGGGTGACTCTATTTTAAAATGCTTTTTAAATTTTATGTATATGGATATTTTGTCTGTGTGCCACAGGTGTGCAGTGCCCATAGAGGCGAGAAGACACCGTTGGGTCACCTGGAACTTGGTTATCTAGGGTTGCGAGCCATAGTGTAAGTGCTGAGAACCAAAGCTGGGTCCTCTGGAAGAGGAGTGAGTGCTTTTAACCGATGGGCTGTCACTCCAGCCCCAACCCCCAAGGATGACTCTTCAATGTAAACATCCTAGTGTAAGACCTTCAGAAAGCTCAGGCCTCCAGAATCTCAGCCCAGGACCTCGGCCACCCCAATCACCAGGCAGAGGCCAAAGCTTGATGCAAACTGCATGAGGCTTTATTGTTTGTTTAACGAGCTAACCCCATGTTAGCTCTGGTCTTTCAAGCCATCCACCATGCCGGATGGCTAGAAAGACAGCTCGAAGCGTCTGCATAGAGATCTTGTAGGGCAGCAGAAGGGGAGTGCATAGGGGTATGCAGAGGCTCAGGATTGGTGTGCCTCCAGGCTTGGAGGGCTCACCCTGTGTTGATTGGTCAACTGGTTCTTATGGCCCATAGGCCCTCCCAGGGTGGTTACTATGCTGTGCACTTGTCTGTAAAGCACACCCAGAGCCATAAAGCATAGCGCCACCAGCTAACTTCTGATTGGTTCCTTGCCACGAGGCAGGCGTCTGACTTCCTAGTGACCAAGGCAAGGTCAGAAAAGCACGTGTTCAGCTGTTATGGCGTTTTGGCTGCCGAAATGGGGAGCTGGTCCCTTCATTAGCCAGGTGTGGTGGTACATACACCTATAACCCCAGCACTGAGGAGGTCGAGGCAGAGGATGCTGAGTTCCTGGCCAACCTAGGCTACACAGAGAACCCTGTCTCAAATATATACTGAAGGGACCAGCTCCCCCTTCGGCAGCCTAGCGGCCGAACACGTGCTTGTATGACCTTGTCCTGGACCCTAGAAAGTCAGATGCCTGCCTCGTGACAAGGAACCAATCAGAAGTTAGCTGATGGCACTATTCTTTACAACCCTGGGTGTACTTTATGGACAAGCACACAGCAATGACACAGAGCATAGCAACCACCCTAGGAGGGCCTATGGGCCATAACAACCAGTTGGCCAATCAACACAGGGCAAGACAC